GTGCCGAATTCGAGATCCGTGATAGGAAGGACCTGGCAAAACTGAAGAAGGAGGAGCTCGCGGAGATCTACAGCAGGAATGAGGAGATCGTGAAGGCATGTTTCGCTCGACGACCGAACTATAATGACCTTATACCCGTACTTCTCGAGATCGGTGTCTGCGACGAACTACTAGTACGCTGTGGGCTGTCGCTACATATCCCACTCAGGCCCATGTTGGGAAGCATTACGCGCGACATGGGCGAGATGCTCACCAAACTACAAGGACGAGACTTCGCCTGCGAGTACAAGTACGATGGCCAAAGAGCACAGGTGCATTGCGACGACAAGGGCAAAGTCACGATTTTCTCGCGCCATCTGGAAGTGATGACCGACAAGTATCCTGATTTAGTAGCACTGGTGCCCAAGATACGTGGCGAGGGAGTCTCAAGTTTCATCCTCGAAGGCGAGGTGGTTGCTGTTGACCGCGAGAGTGGAGATCTCAAGACGTTCCAGACACTTGCGAATCGTGCGAGAAAAGATGTGGTTATCGGCGCGGTGACAATCGACGTTTGTCTCTTTGCATTCGACCTAATGTACCTGAACGGCGAGGAGCTGCTCAACAGGCCTTTCAGAGAGCGGCGATCGCTACTGAAAAGTCTGTTTGTTGAGATACCGCACCATTTCACTTGGGTCAAGAGTCTAGACGCTACATCTGCCGATGTAGAAGCAGTCCAATCCTTCTTCCAAAGCGCCCTGGACATCAAATGCGAAGGCATAATGGTCAAGATCTTAGACAATCTACCCAACCCCGACCTCCTCGCGGAAACCGACGAAGCCATCGAAAAGACGCCTTCCCTCCCAACAACACCAAAGAAGAAAAAGCCCGTGAAATCAAAAACGAAGACGAAAGCTACGGACACCGAAAAAGACGAACCAAAGACGTCTGGCCGCCGCAAAGCCCTACTCTCGACTTACGAACCGGACAAGCGCCTAGACAGCTGGCTCAAAGTAAAGAAGGACTACAGCACCACCTCTGAAACCCTCGACCTGATCCCCATTGCCGCATTCCATGGTTCTGGTCGCAAGGCAGCATGGTGGTCACCTATTCTTCTCGCCATCCGCAACGCGGAAACCGGACAACTGGAAGCAGTCACAAAATGCATGTCCGGCTTCACGGACGCGTTCTACAAAGCGAACCGTGCAAAGTACGATCCAGACGACCCGGATTCCACAACCGTGCTAGCTGGGAAACCGCATTACGTGGAGTACAATGGTGGGGCGGGAACGCCCGCTGTTTGGTTTGAGCCGCAAGAGGTGTGGGAGGTGGCTTTTGCAGATTTGACGCTGAGCCCGACGTATACGGCTGCGATTGGGTTGGTCAATGAGGACAGGGGGTTGAGTACTAGGTTTCCTAGGTTCCTGAAAGTAAGAGAAGACAAGAGCATCGACGAAGCTACTGAGGCAGAGGAGCTGGCCAGTTTGTATCGGAAACAAGAGGCCAAGGCACCTAAGAAAGATGAGACTGTCAGAGAGGTTGAGGATGAAGACGTGGAGTAAGGGATGGCATGGCACAGTAATGGTTAGATACCCTGGAGACAACGTCATCACTTGAAATAATCGTAGTAAAGAAGTCTTTGATTGAATGTATCCTCCGAAACTACCATTTTGGTCTCTCCTTCAGTATCCTGCAGCGCTGATACTTCAGCCTGCGAAACCCCAAACATCATATCCGATTCCTTCAAAGAGATGGAGATAGGAAAATCGTTATCCTCCTCGAACGTGGGGCATCTGCTCGTGCGCACCGCATCTCAGCACTGTCGCGTGTGAGCGACACACGTGCGACATGCCGGCTTGCTCTTCCTCCGCCGTATTGTTGGCACGACCTTGGAGCGGTCGCTCGGGTTCGGCGCGAAGAGCGGCGGTGCGCGTCGCATCCACGTCCTTGTGGGTTTAGAAACCGTGGACCTTGATGGTCTTGCCATCAAGGCCCAGGCCCTCCTTCTTGTCGGTCAAGAAGTCTTGAACATCCTTGCGCTGGTCTCCTTGCAACTGGATCACCTCTCCCATCTCGGTGTCTGCGACGACGGTGCCATTGCAGGCAAACTTCTTCTTGATGACTTTGAGGATCTTCTTCTGGTCGAACTTCTTGGGCAGTCCTTGGACGGTGGTCAGAGTCTTACGACCATTACGCTCTGTTGGGGGTTGACGTCAGCCCTGCGCGATTTCTTGAAACATGGGGAAAGAGGGGAAGGGACGGCGCGCCGATGTCGCACACCTGCGAATTTCGGGGAGAAGGAAGGCAGAGAGGATACGTACGCTGAATACGAATATGGATGTAGTTCTGCTGAGTGGACTTTACTTCTCCTCCAGCATCATCAGCCTCCGCGAACGGATCGAAGGACTTGAGATTCTGGATGTCCGTGGTCATGAAATCGACTGGTGGCGCTCTGCGGGTGCTGAAAGGGTGCGGTAGGGCAGGCGGTTGTCGTGTCGCGGGAAGTGGAGAGTGCGCGTGTGTGAGGAAGGTCGCAAGTAGTTGGGTGGAGCGTGGAGGGTATTAATCGGCCAAGAGGGAAGGGTGGCGAGGGGACCATCTGGGGGAGCCCGCAGGCGGTCTAAGCCCCGCTGCCAAGGCACAAGGCCCGAAACAGTCATCAGCGCTGCTGAGTGCCCTAGGGACATCCTTCATTCACCACTCCTCGCATTCGCTTGTCCACGTGTGAAATGCTCAGCTGCGTTGCCGCAAATCCCGCGTTCTGGTTACTGGTCAAAGACATGACTATCTTCGCGACATGACGTTTCCCTTATCTTGTGTCACTATCTCATCACGCACGCGCACGCGCACTGTGACTCGCCTCAACAAAAGCGCATAGTCCATCAAGAGGCTTTGGGCATCATTACTAGTCAAAGTGCAGAAGTCTCATCCACGACTCATGAGCATGTTGGGAGTGGCTCGCTGACTTTCGCGAAGCTTCCACTGGCGTGTGGATGAACCATCGGTTTCAGATCGAGATCGATGTCATCTGGATCAGTACTACGATATCATCCGCTGGCAGTACTGGAAGCATGAAGTCCCGAAGCAAGTCATAAGTGACGATAAGCAAGATGTTCAGTGGTGTTTTCAAAGCCTCATTCGCCGTCAGCCGGCCTGAGAGCCACGCACATACTGTTACTCGTCCACCTGTTTCGTATGCTCTTCGATACCGTTCGCAACTCCAAACTATCCATCCAACATGCAACAACCCGAGTGTATCTGTTTGCCTATCTAATATCCCTTCTCACTGTCCGTGGTATTCATTTGCGTCCATGCCAGCCATCCGTCGATCTGGCAGGCTCCTCTTGTCCACCAAGCTAATTGCCAGCTCACTCCAAAACTCTGGCGGAAAACCTCGTCCATGTGCGTCCTCGCCTTGTGCTCTCATCCACTCTCCGGTAGCCTTGTAAGTATAGAAGTCGACCATCATCTTCCGAGCTTTGCAGGGCCCTTCAGTGCCGGCGTAGACGATCCATACATGCTCGCTTGATGGGATCTCAGCGCTTTCTGTTGCCTTAACGAGAATAGCATCCAGGGCAGAGTCTTTGGCCTTCGCGTCTTTGACAAGGTGGGCAATGGTGTAGAGCTTGCACAGAAGGGCGTACTCGTCGTGTTCAGCATCGGATGCATCATTACGTTTACTTGGAATGCGACCGGTATAGATGAGCTGGAAGTATAGAGCAAACGCGCGAGGGTTGATTTCAGGCAGATCAAATGACTTTTGGTCAGCGTCGTTAGAAAAGAAGTCCTTGAAGTAGGTTGACCGGGCAGTGAGGAGATCAGAGTGGATACTGAAGGTTCGCGCACGCTCGTCCTGGCCGACGTGGATGGTGAGGAGATCACATCCGAAGCTACTGTTGTTAGTTCTATACATGAGGAATTGAGGGGGGAGTACCTACTTGATTGCCTGGTCTTCGACGACGCGAATATCCGGTACTCTCAACATCTGCTGATCGGCACGAGCAGATTCACTATCCACGGTCGCTCCATGTCCGAACAGACTTCCCTTGCGCGAGGTGCTAGCCTGACCTAGATTGCCAAAGAGTCCACCTCCGGTATCAGGCTTGGAATGAGATGAGCTGCCGAACCCAAAGAGTGGACGAGCATTTGTGCTACTCGGCGGTGGCGGCTCGGTATATCCGCCGAATAGGTTCCGGTTGGATAGAGCACCAAACAGCCCGCCAGGAATCGGCTGCCCAGTTGCTTGAGCAGCAGCGACTTGAGAAGCAGCCCTACCGCCAGTCCAGTCACAAGTACTGGAACCGCCGAATAAGCCACCAGGAACCTGCTGCCCGGCGGGCGCGGTGAGCCCAGAGCAAAACTCAGAACCCATCACCCTAGATTCTCCTGGAATCGGTGTGTCGCTAGGAACGCTTCCGGGCTGACTGAACAAGGTAGTGGGGTTTGTCTCCGAGCGCTTCTGTATATTCTCTGATGTATTATCCATAGTGCAAAAGGGTGTGTTGGTCTCGTTGCTTTGGTTAGCTGTTGTGAAAAAATCTGCGTGGTTGCAAATCTGTGACTGGTGCGAAGGGCGGATCGTTACGGAAGGATTTGTAAGTGAAGCATACAAACTCAATACAATATCGCCAGGACTTTAGGCAGACAGTTTGATCGCGGCTATGACGTAGTCTTTGTTTCCTTTCACGACGCAAACGCAGCTACTGGCCCACTAGGTCTAAGTTAGCGACAACGTAGAGATATCTCGCTCCTGATCGCATGAACTCTGAGGGAAGAAGTTACTGATATATGCAAACAAGCCGGTATGATCTCATCTCACATGAAGGTGGGACAGGTTCAACAGCAGCGGAAAGCGTGACAGAGCTCAGGCGGTAGATCGTGTGTGACATGAGGTAGCCTGGTGGTATACAACGTCGTTCTCTACAAACGTGAACACCCAAATAGACACCGAGTGTCCTCTGGCTGTATGATAACACCTTCTCTTACTCCGATAACAGCCATATTGTTTCTGGCTTGTACCTTGATCAACCAAAACTACCCAGCAGCGAACCCATATCGACCTTTTTGTCGTTACGTACCCTCCTTTTGCCGCCATCTGGTGGAGGTTTGTATTCACCAGCACGCTTGTTTGGTCGCTTGGCTTGTTGCTTCCGTATGAACCACGCGACGTCGTCATCTCGTAAACTCTTGCTCCCTTGAGCATACTGAAAGGAGAGGGATCGGTATGCCTTGCAGCCATCAGTAGTAGCGTCTCGTGATGTTTCGGAAGAGGATACAAAAGATGCTTCGTACAGTTGCTGCACGATGGTATTTCTCCTTAGACCGGAACTACTCCATTCGCTAAGAAGGGCCGAAGCTGAATGTATGCCCCAGCCTTCCCCACACTCTGCGGGATCGGGTAACTGTGGACTGTGGATTCCAACTAGCTTTAGACCCGGAAAGGACGAGATGAACTCCAAGAGCGGTTTTTTCGGAAGCCTGATGTAGTTGTTGATGACAAGTACCCGCAGACTCCTCATTGCACCACTTTCGCCAACACTTCGTCCCCAGTCGCGCATCATTTGAAGTGACAGTACTGCGTTCTGCCGGCTTCTTCCAACCTCTAATGTGAGAACTGCGAGCGTCTCGATCTTGTTAAGGGCAACAAGTTGGTCAATTGTTATATCGGACACCCGGATACACAGAAAAGTCAGCGTGCGGGCATCGAGCTTGGCCAATCGGTCGACGACAGAGGGTAGGAGACCCCCAGGATTGTCCTGGACTCTGAACCTAGAGTGACGATCGATGTCTTCCGGGAAAGCTTTCTGGAAGAGACTCCATGTACGGAAGGACAGTGTGTCGTTGTACTTGATGTGTTCGTATAAGCGGCTAGCATATGACCATCCGAGCCATTGCAGAGCTTCAACTTCCATATTGTCAACATTCCAGACGCAAGCACGGAGTGCCATTGCTTGCAGAGTATCGCATCCTCCAGCTTGCCGGCGGTATTTCGATGGGTCCACCCTTCTACCACGAGAATGGCTTGTCCATGTGGGTACCATTGAACGGACAGAAGCCGTCGTACTTTCCCTAAAGACCAGTCCCGATGACGGGTCAAAGCTCTCCATGATTGCTTGACTGGTGAAGCGAGCGGGTACGGCTAGACTGTTGGCCGAGACTCGGAGTATGCTGACACCTCATATGAGGAAGAAATTCGAACAGGTCTGTAGACAATGCCGGGATAAACTTAGCAAATGAGAAAATCTGGCGTCAATGTAGGCTCCAGGGTGATCAATTCTTTCCTTGATTGGGGCGGTGAGTTGGGTCAATAACACCTAATGAGCGATACGTTGTAGGCGTGTTCAACAATTGCCTGCAGACCGACAGATGCGAGCTGGAGGCGCCTACTGTCTTTACTGCGGTAGCTGTGTTGCGCATGTCGCGTGTGGAAGGAATGTACGCGACGCGACGGCAGGGGCACCTCGGAACCCACATTTAGGGTTAGCGCTAATCTCTGATTCGTTCCTTCCCCCAACCCTCCTCTTCCACTCACTCAACGACCAAGTCAGGCAGCGGCATATTATCTTTGATTGCTCCATGTTGGCTGATATTGTTTGGCTGGGATCATAATGCAAAAGAAGTAGAGCCATTCACCCTCCAAGTAGAACGGTCTTCTGATGTCGAATGCCCACTGAGCATCGGCGCTCGAAACTCCGCACATCGGATTATGACTAAATCTCAGCACACAGCTTCAACACTACTAACCAATAACTTCCCATTTTAAGATTGACTTCATCTTCTCATCTCTTGGATACACACAAAGGATTCCGCGACAATCATCATGGCATCGTCACCGGCACCAAACCCATTATCTGCCCACATCGCTAAAGGCTCCCCCATAATCCTGGACGGCGCGCTAGCAACATACCTGGAGACCTTGGGAGCAGACATAAGCGGCGCATTGTGGTCCGCATCCATACTGCTTGATCAGCCAGCCCTCATAAAACAAACACATCTCGACTACTATCGCGCAGGCGCAAATGTTGCAATCACAGCATCCTACCAAGCCTCCATTCCGGGACTAGTCAAGCACCTGGGCTTGAGTGAAGAAGAAGCCAGAAAAGTCGTAAGCAAAAGCGTGGGACTAGCCCAGCAAGCAAGAGATGAATACGTTGCCGAGACAAATGAGGATGTTCGAAGTAAACTGTTCATAGCGGGGAGCGTAGGCCCGTATGGCGCATTCCTTTCAGATGGCTCGGAATACCGAGGCGACTATTCCATTCCTCAGGAAGAAATGAAGGACTTTCACCGCGGCCGCATCCAAGCCCTCGTGTCTGCCGGTGCCGACATCCTAGGCATTGAGACGATACCATCCAAAGGCGAAACCGAAGCTCTCCTGGACCTGCTCACCACAGAATTTCCCAGCACGGAAGCTTGGTTTGGCTTCACATTACGGGATGGCTCTCACATCAGCGACGGCACACCCATCTCTGAGATCGCAGCACTTTTCGATGATGTAGACCAGGTAGTTGCGCTGGGCTTCAACTGTGTGCCAGATGATTTGGGGTTGGCTGCTCTGAAGACTTTGAAGCCATTGGTGAAGAGGGGGACCTTGATGGTGTATCCCAACTCTGGTGAGCAGTGGAATGCGAAGGCGCGGGAGTGGGAAGGCAAGAGAACGGAAGGTTCGACGTTGGCTGAGAAGACGCGGGAGTGGAACGAAGCTGGGGCCGGTCTTATTGGAGGGTGCTGTCGAACTACACCCGAGGACATTGGTATCATGAAAACGGCACTAGAGTAGGGGCACTGGATTTTGGAAGGAGACGTGTAGCGGGAGTATTGTAGCGAAGCCTGAGGCCCTGGTGTTGGGCCGGCATTATTTATGTGTAAAAGTATCGAATATCACTTGTTTTGTTCATCTGTCCGCTTGTAGACGTGAGCAGTTTTGCGCGTCTACATTGACTTTCCTCGCTCTGCTACATTTCAGGAGTGTTGGCAGGGCGACATGGAGTTTGTCCAGGTTCAGTTGCCCTCCATTCCGGCTTTGCTGCCCCTTGCGACTGCTGTTCAGTTTCCAGGTATATCCCGAGAGTCCCCGTTCCGTACGCTGCGCGCCATATAGGGTCGGGTATATCGTCTGGGTTTGCCTGGGCCGCGCTGCATCGTGTGCTTGGTGCTTGGTTGTTTGGTTCGATGGTCGTACATCCCTACGCCACGATTCCTCACCCATCAATGACCATGTCCTCTTCATCGCCCACCGCACCTCCAGTCCGCTTCTGTAGTTCCTCCAGAATCGCTTTCGCACGGTCCAGCACATCTTCTGTCCCAACCTGTCCCGAGCTTGCCCTCGCATTCAATACACCAACGTCAAACTCGCCGTAACCTCCGTTCTTGACTTCCTTCTCCGGATCCACGACCTCACTCTCGTTTTCCTTGCCTTTCTGGGCTTGCCCCTGCCCCTGTCTCTGATTGACGGTAAACTTGGGATGGCTCTTCGGTATGACCTTGTAGCGTTCGAGAGCGTTTAATTGCTTGACCAACTCTGATCTTATTACTTCGCAGGATGCTCCGCAGAAGAGGGCATTGATGCGAAAGGCTTCTTTGCGCGCTTCGAGGGTACCCGGTGTACACTGCATGGCGTCATGTTGGAAGGGGATCGGATCGTTGGTGAGCTGGCTCAGGGCAGTTGCGAAGTACTTAAGCAGTTTGGGTATTTGGTGGTTGATCTCGTTGAGGGTATCGATGTGTTCGGCGGCGACTTCCCGGTACGTTTTCGGCTCTTCAGATGCTTTCGCGTCTCCGGCTTGCTGCTGGTCCGTCTCGTTTGCGATTTGTTGGTTAGCTTCGGTAGACATGGCGGGGTGTTTGGCGAGTGTGGACAGGAGGGATAATTAGTGAGGTAGAGCAATCGGTAGACGTGCGGATTTGCAGTCGAAGTGTATGCGACAGCAGCACTTTTGTCAGGAAGTAATGCGACAGTTGCGTGCTGTGTGCCTGGTGTCTTGGAGTCGAAGCTGGGGAAGCTCAGGGCCCGCAATGCAGGCGCGCACCGGCGCATGCTTGGCAGGCCGCGCGCAGCGAACCTCACCTCCGACTTTCACTCCGCATCACGGCAAGCCTCGGTGACGTCCTGGCAAGCTTCAGACGCGATACCCCCATCAACTCAAAGTCGCCACGCGTCAAAACAGCTCCAATACCACTTGCGACCCAGGAGCGACCACCGGGAGACGTTTCCGGCCCTCCATGCACATTGCGACCCGTCTCCACCCAGCCTCGAGGTGAAGGAGCTGCTCCCTGCCGACGTAGAAGAGAAGGAACAACACCACAACCATGTCAGGGCCCCCTCAAGGGCCCGGGCCTGTGAGGCAAATGAGCGTGGGAAATGGACCGCCCAGCGCAGGTTTACCACCACACAACGCCATGCCTCCACAAGGGGGACCTCCGCCGCCAGGTGCCTCGGGGCCGCAATCGCAGCAAAACTTAAATCAGATTGTAGGTACAACATTTTCTCTCTCACTGCAGTCGTGTTTGCTATTGTCAGGGTTTGCACAATTGCGGCGGGTGAAGGCGCATTGTCCGCGCGGTCTCTGGCCGTCGCGTTTCGTGAAAGAAAGCTGTCCTTGGCCGTATTCTCGACTTACACTCCCGTCTGCCTTGCGCGATCCCGTTTTCAAGTCGCGCGCACTTTTTCGCTACGTCTACCACGACAGAACTCTCATACTGCGACTGTTGCATTCCTCGCGCGCTCTGCCTCCTACCCTCCCATCTTCGTAAAGTCAGCCAAATATGAACGCATCGGCGTACGGAAAGAGTTATGCGACCAACAACGGTGGCCACACCTCGGTACTGCGCACTTGAAGCATTGATTGCTGCTTGACATCATGTAGATGATCGTGATTTAAAAGGCTGTTGCTGACATTCATGCAGGTACTGGAGTACCTCTCTAAAAAGGGATATGTCCGCACCGAGGCGATGCTTCGAAAAGAGTCTGAACCGCAGACTAACGGCCAATCCCTCGTAGCGCAAAGCACCGAAGCGGGCGGCGCGAGATACACAAAAGCATTCGAGCTCCTTCGCAAATACACCGAAGACAACCTGGATTTGTACAGACCAGAGTTGCGGAAGCTGCTGTGGCCTGTTTTCGTCTACTCGTACCTCGACATGGTGCGCGACTTCTACACCAAGGATGCGGAAACCTTCTTCGCGACGTATCAGGGTCTTTTCGAGCGCGACCACGACGAAGATATCAAAACACTTCGCCAGGTCCGGTTACAAGCACATTTGCAGGAGAGCCGCATCGCAAAGCTATACATCGACAACAAATACCGCATCACGCTGACGACAATGCCCTTCTTCAATCTCATTCAGTTCCTCGAGTCGAAGCATTTTGACGGCGGTTCGACAATCATAGACGTGATCCGGGAACACCTGAACATCGTGACCGTCGACCGAACGGCCACGGCCGAGAAGAGTATAGCAGCAATCCTTGCAAGTGGACATGGCGAAGACGAGCTTCCAGCAGAAGACGAAGGTATCCCAGGACACGCCCCAGGCCATCCCCTCACTGCGCGCCATGATCCGGAAGCTGAGGCTGCCCGTATAAGGCTGCAGCTAGGCGCATACCCACAAGAGGCAGATCTGCAGGAAGATGTCCGCGCAGCTTTACAGGACGAGGATGCTAAAAGCGCGCCAAGACCGGGACAAGCAAGCTTAGTAGAGGAGTTCGAGCAACGCATAAAACAGGAGCCAACAGAAGACGGACCCTCGCGGGAGTTTGTTCCTCTGCCGCCTTCACTTGCGCGCGACGTCTCCATGGAGGTTCAGAAGATCATCGAGCACCGAGATCGCTACAAGATGGAAGGCAGAACAGGCGGCGTTGGCCCAGCTGTCAGCGTCACCATGTACACCTTCCATAACACCTACGACAGGTAAGTTCACTCGTCATTCTGTCTCAGAAAATGTAGCTGACCCAATGATAGCATCAACTGTATTGACTTCTCTGGTGACAATCAGCTTGTCGCGGCCGGCATGAACGAGTCTTACATACGGGTCTGGTCCATGGACGGCAGTCCACTCACCTCTCCAAACGATGCGCCAGACGCACAACCGTCGTCTTCAAGACGGCTCGTCGGCCACTCCGGTCCAGTCACTGCAGTGGCCTTCTCACCTTCCACAGCAAACCCGTACCCATCCGGACCACCAACAAATTCAGAATGCCTTCTTTCATGTTCAGAGGACAAAACAGTCCGACTTTGGTCGCTAGACACATATACATGTCTTGTAGCCTATCGCGGACACGACAATCCAGTCTGGGATCTGCAATGGGGACCTTATGGACACTACTTCCTTACTGGTTCAAATGATCGCACCGCACGCTTGTGGTCAACAGATCACATTGAACCTCTACGCATCTATGTTGGTCACGACAATGACGTTGACTGCGTTACTTTTCATCCCAATAACCTTTACATCTTCACTGGTTCTTGCGACCGCACAGTACGCATGTGGCACATCGCTGGTGGTAACTGTCTACGCCTCTTCACGGGCCACACGGGCAACGTGACCGCCATAGCATGTTCTCCCGACGGCAGGACGCTTGCCTCCGCCGACGATGCAGGTAACATCATTCTCTGGACTCTTGAGACTGGACGAAGGCGGAAGCGCATGCGAGGACACGGCAAGGGTGGTATTTGGTCGCTTTCCTGGAGTGTGGAATCGAGCGTTCTCGTCTCAGCCGGAGCGGACAAGACAGTCCGTGTCTGGGATGTGCTCCAAGAGACCAGTGACAAGGCTGCTGATGGCGTGGCTGCGAAGGCGGACGGTGCTATGACGACCAAGGGCGCGAGTGGAACCACAGTGACAGGAAAGAAAGCCAGCAAGGAGACCGGTGTCTCGGCAGACCAGATCAGTGTATTTCCGACCAAGGAAAGTCCCGTGTACAAGGTGCAGTTCACTAGAATGAACCTGGTACTTGCTGGTGGTGCGTATTTGCCGACACGTCAGTAGCGTCTGGCACCGAGCTAGGTTTTTGGGTGACCATACACGGATTGGCACATCCGGGCGTTTTGGGTCAAAAGCATCAAGATGACAAGCTACAGTATACCCGCATGTATGTAGAATCTCATTCTTCTAATTACATCTTCCATCTGATCCTTCTGGTCTTTGCATATGAGTTTGAACAGCACTTGGTCGTTTGGCAACAGTCCTACCCATCATCGGGGTGAAGGTCCGCTCATATGCAACAGTGCAGCTTCCCTATCCGCAATCGCGCTTGTAGTACGGGTTGCGATAGACCTGTCATGACGTAGCTGTAGTCTCATCCGCTTCGGTGGCTTCCGGTGTTGTTGCCCTTGCTGTCCGAATCAATTTGTCATGACCTGGGAGCACCTTCCCAATCTCACCCCCGAAGCTTCTCACGGCGGTCACCCATCCCTTGGCACTCGTGCCTCCCCGATAAAGCCCATCGCCCAGTGTTTATCATCTCTCTTCTGCACCCAGCTTCCTACACTCGTTTACCACACTCCTTTTCGCCCCTCCGTCAGCAACTGGCCTGCTCCTTTGGTCATCTTGCTCACCTCTGCCCATCTGGTGCACTCTTCAATCTCATCTCACCACAGCCGCCAGCTCGACGCTTGACATGAAGGTCACTCAGCTTGCCGCCCTCTTCGGGGGTACTGCTCTTGCAGTCCAGCCTCTTGCAGCTCCTCGTAAGTTAACTTCACGCATTTCCTTCAGTATCATTGTTACCTCAATCGCTATCTGGCTGTTCAAACAACTCTGACACGTCAACAGGTGTCGAGCGTGCCCTCACCGATACCCACTCCACGGTCATTATGGTTACGTCAACCCACCTGATCCAGGAGATCTGCACCGACATTGCGAGCTGCCCTCCCTATACCACCACTGCTGAGACATCTGTTGTCTATGTCACTGCAACAACCACGATCTGTCTACTTTCTTCGACGCCTCCTGGGTATGGGCCACCTCCAACTACGGCTGCTCCTTCATCAGTTGCTAGCTCCGCCTACCCCACCAGTTCCGCGGGCATCTCTGTCAGCCTCATCTCAGGGTCTCAAATCTTCCCAGGTGGCTCTGAATATCCCAGTGGCTCTGCTCCCCAGACGAGTGCTCTGCCAACAGGTATTTCCCCATCCAGCGCATATGCTACGCCTCCTAGCGTGAGTGTGGTGCTCCCATCAGGATCTCCAAGCACTGGAGTCACGATCGTCACAGATGTATTGCCTTCAACCGGAGCAAGCAGTGTCGTCGTGGTTCCTTCATCTACCAACACCAACGCCATTAGCAATTCATATCCCGCTTCATCAGCTGGGCCTAGTTCCATTGGCTCTTCAAATGGATATGTCGCACCTCCGGGCAGCTCCCTGGTCTCATCACCCACTAACCCAGGTCCCGTGAACCCTGGTAGCTCAGCGGTCTCCAGCATGTCATACACAGGCTCTACTTTCCCAGCTAGCTCAGCAGCTCCACCTGTCAGCAACACGGATGCAGTTCCTACGTCCATAGGTACCCCCTCGTCAGGGCCAAGCTCTGGTAACCCAGCCACTCCTTCAACACCAGGCTACGTACCGTCCGGCTCATCCGTGCCACCGAGCAGCAATACGGATTATGTGCCCACGTCTCCGGGAGCCGCCTCCACCGGCTCAATGTCGAGTGGCTATGTCGTGCCGCCAGCTAGCTCAGCTGGGTTAGCAAGCTCTATCACAGATGCCGTACCGACTTCCATCACAGTCTCATCGCCCGCAAGTCCATACCCAAGTGGACCAACAGTGTCATCGAGCTACTCGGCTGCCCCATCTCGCCCTGCTGGACCGTCTTCCAGTGGATACCTCGTGCCATCAGGTAGTTCAACTGCACTGACAAAGTCCAACACGGATGCTGTACCTACTTCTCTTACAGCTTCTTACCCAAGTGCCAGCTCTGCTATACCCTCTGGAAGCCCTTCAGCCGGACCTTCATCGAGCAACTACTTTGCCCCACCTGGAAGCTCTATCGAAGCTGCTCCGACATACACAGGCGGAGATTCTACATCTTCTACCGCCACAGGATCCTCGGGTACCGCCTCTGGCACGAACTCAGCGTCATTGTCTACTACTCCTGGTTACCCAAGCCCCTCGCCCACAACAGGTCCTGTATCCACGGTCATCGATAGCACTATTAGGATTACGAGCTATCAGACACAGACTCTCATTTCGTACATCACGGCAGGGCCTTCAGACGTGCCTGGCAATGACACCAACACCAACACCAATACGCAAGCTATCCCGACCAGCGTCCCTTCAGGTGTCTCTGGTGGTCCCTCTGGATCTGGGTACGTCTTAATGATTCTTGATACTTTCTATATTCACTGACCGGTCTTTGCAGTTATCCCTACCCATCTGGCGGCATCAACGGCACGATTGTTGCCCCCTACCCCAGCTACATCGAAGTGCCCATCAACACCGGCCATGTCGTCGGTGCCGGAAAGAGTTCCCTCGCGGCTATTGTCGTTGCTCTCGTCTTCGCTCACTTTGCATAAGCCAAAGCGTGGCTCTCTCATCGGTCTCTTTCTGTCGTGAAGGAGATGCGCTGTTGTTGAAGGAGGTCGACATGGTGAGACATTCTTGCATCGCGTATAGCGTTTAGCATGGAGCGTTCCAACTCTGTCCACATACCTACAATGTGGGCCTGACGAGGTCAAGGGAAGTGGTATGATCTTTTTAGGGAGTGTTCTTTAAGCCAGACAGGGTTTTCCTCACATGTACTACCAGTTACACGGCCGCAACAGATCAGCATGCATGTAATATACAACACTTTTTACTTCGGCCATTAACAAAGATCTTCGTTGCACTGTGATGTCTTCTCAGAATTTGTCATGATTGAAACAAGCCAGAAAGCCGCAGTGGCTAGAGTGTACGCCAAGGTTGAGAGACCTGTTACATGGCTATGCTGATGGTCGGTTTCCGTCACCGTACACCGAAGGCCTTCAGGGTATCATCCGGGCTCTCATTCTCGTCCCCGGGTATGCTCTCATTCCACGCGTCTTCAGATATGCGCCCGGCTTCAGGTAGCAGACTGAAGTGCGGACTTGGCTCGGCCTTCAACCACTTGAAGTCGTCGATTTGATCCCACTGATTTGGCGATTGTTCGATCTCCGGTGTCGTCTATACGGTCGTTAGCGAAGTTTACACAGCAAAGACTGCAAGTACCAGGAGAAGACTAACATATACACTAGGCAACGGCGCAAACCTCAGGCCCTCACAGTCCTCAAAGATCGGCCGACTCGTACTATGTAGATATACATCCACGTTCTTGCTCCCATGCATGCGAAACTGCCGACACGCCGTCACTATGATGCTGTTGGAGACATCGGTGATGTGTATTGCGCCTGCGACTTGGCCGGTTATTATGAGCGACGAGCTTATGGAGCGGAGGTAGAGGGCAGCGAAGGGCGCGTTTGCTTTCGTTGGGGCGCTGAGATCGACGATGCAGTGGGTGAGGCGGGACACTGTCGGTGAACTTGTTTCGTGGGGAGATGAAGGGAGGGTTATACGGGCGTGGGATTTCCAGGAGAGCGCTGACGGAGAAGAGTCGTGTTGCGTTGTGTCGTGCTGCTGTTGTTGCTGTGATGGCGGTGTTTGTTCCGATGTGGAGGACGGTTTCGCGCTCCATGTATCAGGTGCAGTGTCTGGTTTCGCGATATCCTTTCTTCTGTTCTTGAAACTGAATTTCTTGGGTGGATCGAAGCTGTTCCTCACTTCTGACAGCTTCTCGCTCAAACGCTTGATCGTCTACACTTTCTTGTCAGCCTCCTATCCCCTATTAAAGCTGCATTTCTTTTGGCATATGACGCACCTCGCTGTACGTCCGTTGATCGTAAGCCGGAAGATAGCTCGAGGCGTCCTGGACATCGAGGGCTACTCGGTTTATGCCGGCCAGGCAGTTGTCTATTGCTTCATTGCGCTCGCCGCCGGATGTTGATACGGAAGAGAGGTTTTCGATTTGCGCGCGAAGTGCTGAGTGTGTTAGTCAAGGCGCATGCTGTGGTGGATATGTGGGAGACGGACTTGCGACATCTTGGTTGAACTGGCGGTAGAAGGTCTCTTTGAGGTTGGACTCGGCCATTGCGCGTCGGGTGTTGTCGCGACGTTAAGGTAGTTGAGGTGTGAGGTTTAATATTCGCCAGCCCTATTATTGTCTTTCGGCATGCGTTGAGCCTCGAAGTTCTTCGGTGGGATGTTCACGCGTCGGTGGGTTGGTTAGTGGGGTTGAAAGAGACGCGCATGGTGCGCGCGAAAAACCGCAACATGGTGAAGACCAATGAAGTACAGAAACTACGAGCTTAGGTGACAGTCTGGCAATGCAACAGGTCGATAATGCAGAGGTTTTTGTGTCACCGATTCCAATTACTAGTAGAACCAGATTGAGGGTCGAAAGACGCGACATCATCGAACTGGTGGGATGCACGCTACCCCGCATTTCACGAATAGCGTCTCGTGCATTGTCAGATGTATGGATCTTTGAAGCATGGCTATCATCCGAAATACATTTCTTGAACTGGAGGAATCCAAACATCACTATAAGCTCTCCGCACATCGCACACGAACCCTGTCCAATGCACAATACCAGTCGGCCTGCAGCATAAGCGATGAGATGGATTTTATCCTTACGCGCAACTATGGTAGAGTCCTTCCTTAGCTCAGCACTTTGACAAGTTAGTTATCTGATAGTAGAGACGAATGTTCGATGTCGTTGAAGCAGACTAAGATGAGAGGGCTGACGCCATGCATTGATCTTGGGGGCGAAGAAGAGTCTTGATAAAGTCTTCGATTGTTTGAGGTATATACACGAGCCAGATGTGGCCCAGGTTTGTGTGGTGTTTGCGTTGTGACTCCAAGGAAATGTGTAATGCTTCTAAGCGGCTTCTTGCGCTGCCTTGACGTCGACGCCGTACTTCTCCAACAGTCGTTGCCGCCTCCTCTCTTCGTATCCGGGTCCGTAAATTCCTGGTGAAGTCAGCTTCAGCAAGAGTGTGTTGGCCCTTATTGGACATACCTCGTCCCTCGCCCAATTGCTGCAGAGTCTCGGACATTGGCCGCCTGCGCACCTTCTTCAGCTCTTCCCTGCGCTCAACCTCGCCATCGTCATCGACCTGGTCGCGAATGTCTCCAATACCGCGCATTCCAGCAGTGTAACGGTAGGCAGTGAGGACCGTGGAGAAGCATACTCCGGCACCGAGCATGAATGGAAGGCTTCGCCCTGTGAACTGTTAGTACCGGCGTATGTATCGGTCCTGAGCATGCGTACTGGCAACACCGACACCGCATCCAGCCACGAAACCGGCAACTGCCTCACTGTAGCAGTCATCCTTTTGTCGCAGGTTACTGGTCGCGTCCAGTGTGAATTGATAGGCGGCTCCCACACCGGCTGCACGTCAATTAGCTTCGTTCGAATGTATTTTCCTGCAATTGACCTGCTACGGACCGTATAGCGCGATTATGCCTCCCGACCGGGTGAGGATGCCCATGGCTCCGACATTCTGTTTCCTGAGTGTGTTCTGGACACCGGCAATGATGGCGCCGGCAGCCGTGGTCTGCAGGGTCGTGTTCGCAGTATTGGAGAGAGCGTCCCGCGGGTGGTAGGTGACGTATTGGTCGGCCATGGCGGGCGAATTGGGCGTGGGTGTCGTCTTGGGAGCTCTATCGACGTTGTTGAAGTCGGCAGCGGGAAGATGCGCCAGACCATAAGCGTCTTGGCGCTCAGGGCTCAAGCGGCGGCGGGCGGGCACTGGCTGCATCATCGCGCGCCGCGTCGTCGAGCTGTCGCAGTGAATGCCGCGAGCCCGTGTGCCTCGCCGCTTGTACTGTTGCGGTCTTGTGTTTTCTTGTGCGTAGTTGCATGCGTCAGGGCTCTTCACGTGGGCTAGCAGTCTTGTTCTTCCTGAATCTAGCACTGTAGTGCTTCTACTAGGCGGTCGCCGCCCACGATGCTCTGTCTGTAAACGCTTCAATCACACAGTAGCAACTTCTCCCGTCTTCGCCCTTCTCCACCCATCTCGCCGTGCATGTTGTGCTGCCAGTAAACCCACCATTCTGTCATCCATAGTATACGCCACACTATTGCTCCCCACCGAACACAACAGCTATGGCGCCTGGTACTTTGTCCACCCTCGTCCCACCAGCGTGTGCTAACCACGACTCACAGGCAAGACGGCGCCGCGGCTACTCCAGGACCTCTTCACATACGATCCGCGACACGAAGAACGGGCCGGTCGGAACTTGTTGACGAGTGCCCCGCCGCAACACGACAGCAAAGCCCCAGCAGTCGCCGCCGTACCCTTCAGGAACTGCCGCCACATCTTCTTCACCAAGCCTGAGCAGTCGCTGTTGCCGGTTGCAGGCGAAGACGCAACCCCGAATACCACATACAAGGTCGCCTCATACTGCAACAAGTGTCGCTGGCATGTCGATGTGCGTGTCGACCACCGCACCGATGCCACCAAGATCAAGTCGTGTGGGAAGGGCAACGAGGACTATGCCTTGCACCACTTCCTCTACGAAGGAGAAGACAACTCGAGTGGCACCGGTGGAATCGAGGCTCAGCTGCGCCCGCGCACCTACACTTTCCGCTGCACTGCGCCCGAGTGCTCAGTCAGGGTACGCATTAGCATGAAGCCGCCATGCTTCTCGGAGCAGGACATTGTCACTTTGACCGACCAGGCCCAGCTCAGGAGACGATGGGAAGCAGCGAAACAGATCGCCGGCGACCGGGCAGACGCAAACATGGCGCGGAAGGTCGATGCTCCCGATTACCTGAACACATACCTACAAGATTCGTTGAAGCCCGCGAAGGGCAAGGCGCGCATCCCATTGTTGAACAAGAAGTTTCTCAAGACCTTCGGTAGGGACTGCGACTCGATATTACGGCGCCTGGGCTTCGAGAACCGCCAGGAAGAGGAAGAGGATGCCATCGTAGAAGTCTGGTATCTCCCTAGGCCCGACGAAGCGGCATCTCCTCTCGAATCGACGCTGCGCAACAAGATCGAGGACGCTCGGTACGAGCTGAATACATTAATACTTAGCATGCCGGAGAATGAACGAGTGGGCTGCAGACACCAGCCCATGTATCCCACACCGTCCCGAGTCGATATGGAGAGAGCGTTAGCATGCGCGGATTGTATGTCCATATACGCCCCGCTTGTTACACAATGTGGCCACTGACAAGCTGCACAGACGCTAAGGCGAAGGGACGGGAGACACGCAGTACAAACCACGAAGAAGATCACCCGTATGTGCCCCGCTTTCACCTTCACCGACGTTCCTGCTTACTGACGACATGTAGTTACTACGCTAGTCTGGGCGCCGTTGGTGACTTCGACGACGCTTTAATCCTGTTCGCCTTCTCTCGACAAGGCGCTGTCGATATCGAGAACAAGGCCTACTACTTCGAATGCTTGCAGGATCTCGCTGCCGGTCGCCAAAGTGAGATGCTTCAGATGCAGGTTGCTTTGTTGGCCTCACAGGGTCTCACTAGCAAACGCGATACCGAGCGAGCCTACCAGTACTTTGGGATTGATCCAACCCACGCAAACGTGATAGGCGACGATCATATCATAGGATGCTTCCGGTCGCGGCTAGCCGATGTCAGCGTTATACAGGCTGAGGAGGCACGAAAGCAGCTGCGAGTTCTCGGAGACGTGCGTGACAGCGACAGAATACGGTCAGAGGCTTCTGGTTCTATCGAGACGTACGAGCAGGCAATGGCGTTCTTCGATCTTGAGCTTGGTGTAGCCGACGATTTCATCCCGACCATGTATTCGCTAAAGGTACCGTGCACGTCGGGTCCCGACATGACTTGTTTGTTGTTCTGACGATTGCTAACACTCAAATAGACTCAGGACAGCCCCGCAAGCATAGAAACCGCAAGGAAAGCCCTGGATATCATAGCAGATGCGCGCAACAGCGAACGACTGCGACAGTTCGCCAAGTTCGGGGCAATGAGCGAGCCTGAAATGGACCTCGGTGAAGCCTACGCCCTTTTCCAGCAACCAGACAGGACCGTCAAGCTCGAACTTGCAGTTTTGGGCTCTCTAGTCAGCACCTACGATGTTGGCTCCAGCGAACGAGCGCGCATGGAGACAGCGTATAAACTTATCGAGAACGACCAGTCACAGAGGTTTGGCGACAACCACGTCAACCCCTCCCCAGCCAGAAGGAACAAATACCCCCTCGATTCATGGCCGGTTGGGCTCCGCAATATCGGTAATACCTGCTATCTCAACAGCGTTCTCCAATTCCTGTTCACCATCAAGCCCTTGAGAGATCTCATTCTTAATTGCGAGAAATACCTACAAGATCTCTCTCCAGAAAGCTTGAAAAACAAGAAAGTTGGGCGCATGTGGGTCACAGCCGAAAGGGTTTTGACGGCACAGAAGTGTCAGTATGTCTTTCGTTACTTCAGATCGATGCTAACCTCGCGTAGTCGTCCGGGAGTTGCGGACTTTGTTTGAGCGCATGATCACCGCATCCACAGACACGGTACAGCCTGCCATAGACCTCGCTTCACTCGCACTATGCAAATCAGACAATCCCGCGGATCCAGTGGAGTCACCACCAGTAAACACTACCGACGGCGCAGGCTTGGGCACGATTGATGGAGCTGCAGTTAGTGGACCGATGCTTCCACCTGCTGTGATGCAGTCCGCTCCTGCAGAAGCTCTAGCCGGCTCAGCCGTGACTGGCGACAACACAAATCCTACAGACTCGGTCATGGAGAATGCTGATGCGGCGCCGATTACACCTGCTGATTCTGTCATGAACGACGACGTTGCAGCAGGCAAGAGCGAGGGCGATGTGCCTGCCCCACCAACACGGCCTCCGCCAATCCCACCACGGGCAGACCCTAAACCGGCCATCAAGCCTGCTGTCCAATCGATTTCGAGAATTGGTAGGATTGAGGAGAGCGCTCGACAACAGGATGCAGCCGAAGTCATGTCGAACATATTTGATCTCATTTCCTGTGCCATAACAGGTGACAGCATTCTGCGCGAAGGTGAGCAAGGAGACGCCATCAAGAACCTGTTCTTCGGCGACGTCACCACAGTAATGGAAAAGTCAGACGGCGTGCAGAAGGTTCAAGAGCTTCGAGACCATTTTCTTGTCGCCACTGGACAACGAGACCGCTCACTCTATGCCACCCTGGACGAAGACTTCGGTTTGGGTGAGATAGCGGATGGTGGCGGTATGCGATACGATTACGTTGAAAAGGCTGCGCCCATCCAGATCATAAACGTGAAGCGGCTACAGTTCAAGGAGGGCAAGCCTGTGTACGACCACTCGCACATTGGCCTGGAGAAAACGATGTATATGGATCGTTACTTGGCGAGAACACCGACACTAAGCGAAGCGCAGCTGCTAGATCTTCGCAAAGCGCAATGGGCAAAACAGAAAGAGTTGCGAGAGCTAGATGCTAAGAGGACAAAGCTACAGACAACAGGTATTGAGGGCTTGAACCTCCCTGAATGTCTAGAGGCAACGAGCGACTTTGTCAACAGTCTGGCCACGGAGAAGTCAGAGCATGAACAACCGAGTTCGTCCCAGGACTTCCTCCCGACTCCGCCTCCTGAACTCTCTGATACGCTCCACACCCGTGCCGCCGATCTCGCTGCCGATCTTTCAGGCATCGACGACCAGATAACATTGCTGGAATCCAAAATCGACACAGTCTTCGAGGACTGCCACTCCGTGCCCTACCGTCTCCATGCTGTCTTTACCCACCGCGGTGACGTCAGAAGTGGTCATTACTGGATTTACATCTACGACTTCCACAAGGATGAGTGGAGAGTCTACAACGACGAGAATGTAGATCAAGTTGAGCAGGAGAGCGTAGTGCTCGACAAGGAGGAGGTACACCGCCCGAAGGTCAGCACAGGTGTCGTGTACATAAGAGCCGATCTTGTGGACGACTATACCGAGGCCGTGTGCCGCCAGCCTGAGAAGACCGAGGAGGATACCCAGAAGGATATTGAGATGAAGGATGTTACTTTCGACGACGATTCTAACGATGAGATGCCCGCGTTGGAGCCGGTAGACTTGAAGGATGTGCCGGTCATCGACGGAGTGGAGAAGGAGTAAGCTCTCTTCTATTCTGAGCCCCTGCTCCTATCTTCCTCTTTCCAAGTTACCGGTTGCTGATTAGACTCTTCTATTAGCATTACTCCTCCGGCAAAGAGAAAGGGGGTTCGATTGGAGTCTCCGCCCAAGAGGGGCAAAAACTATGAAGGCTTTGGACAGACCGATCAACCGGATGTGGGCCCGCGATGTGCGAGCCGACTTGAGCTACGTTGAGCGTATGCTGTGATACCGATGAGTCGTGCTGACAAGCATCTTGGTATCGGTAATGGGGCATGAATAGAATACGGGTAATGCATAACGATGAGTTCGAACTCATATGGGGAATCCTCGTGATATCATACATCTATGTGATACATCCGTCGTCTTACTTGAATTGTGAAGCTCACACAGCCTGTCTCTTCCTCCCACCGCCCCTACGCCAATTCCACAGCGCCTCCTGAGCAAACGTGCGTGCAGTCAGATGACCCCTCTCCTTATTCGCCTCTTCCGTCAACGTCTCAATCACCCGCCCTTCTTCAACGCACTGCCAAAGTCCGCCTGCAATGGCACTGCCAACATCCTCTTCCACCCACTCCTCTCCATCCTCGTCTTCCTCCACCTCTGGGTTCTTGGCTACCTTAGCCGGTCCATCGGTCGTTTGTTCCGTGCTCTCAACCCCGAATTCTCCTCTCCCTAATCTGTATAGGATCCGGCCCAGTGTTTGGTATGCGATGCACCGTTGACTAGCCACTTTACTCCGCGCTGTAACTGCGAGTTCGGGAATCGTGTAGCCTGCTGCCTCGGGAGCTTCGGCATGGTGGTGCAGGCCTAGGTCGGTTGGTATCGATCGCGCGACGCTGGGTGCTAATAGGTTGCCTGAGAAATCGAAGCGGAGCTCGGCAGGGTTGAGGGCGGTTTGCGAGGGGTGGTAGGGCGACTTTGTGTCTGATGGGTCGATGGGCGACATCCATGATAGCGAGGAGGGGTCATAGGGTAGCGTGGGAAAGTATTTCTCGTGAAGGTTCTTCAGGAATGAAGGGTCGTTTGGGTCGAGATCGGGTGGTTGTGGGGGTTGTGGGAAGTGTATTGAGTCGTTCGTATCGGGCATGGCTGTCGATGTGGTGTTGTCGTCTGACGGGGGTTGCGCGGTGGGTATTGAGGTCGAGGCTGGCTGTGACGGCGCTTCGTTTTCGGGTTCTGGTGCCGCGAAGGAGACTTTCTTCGTGCTTGGGGTCTTTGGCTGAGGGTCGAGCTTGGCTTCGTCGGTCGGCGGGACAACATTGGCTGCTGGTGCTGGCGGCTCTGTGTCAAAGTCCTGCTCGTTGCTCCCTTGGTCAATGTTGGACCGCATCAGCAGCTTCTGCAGCAATGCTGGGTTGAGACTTGACATGAGTTCTTGTCGCTCTTGCTCAATCTCCGCGTCTGACATGGCTGCCAGCGTCTGCCTGTTCTCCTCGTCTATTGCCCTTCTCTCCTCGTCCCTGTCCACACCGAATGCGCTCCGCGGCTTAGGCGCATCCTGCGTCGTTGCCGGTGCTTTCGGTGGCGCGGTAACTTGGTGTTCCTTTGCGGCGCGTTGCTGTTTGAAAGCCGATACTCTCGGTACGCGTTTCTTGTGCGCGGGGAATCCATTCACATTCGGCTTGAACGAGGGCGCGACTGGAGGATTAGCTGGTGATGATTCGCGCTCTTGGATGTCGCCCACGAAAGTGGGGAATGATGGCATGGGGAGCTCATGCTGTTCTTCCTGGTCCAGTTTCTCGACTGCGCCGGTATCGAAGTTCAAGTTTACGCGCTCTCCTCTTTGGAACTCCATGTTGACGGTAATGTGGTGGTGTTGAGGCGGCGCAAATGTTCCTTCTCGAAACTTTGGACTGCCGCTGGACCCTTGTACGCGGGGCGCTGCTAGCTAGCGCGTTCTGATGGCCTTGCCTCGGGGCTTCTTCGATGTTCACGCGCGGGACTGAGCCTCCTACCCCACCACACTTCAAGCAGCAATGCCACGCATACATGCAGCAGATAGCATGAGAATCGCTATGGACTTTCGACATAATAAGGGCGCGTTTCCCTATTCTAGACGTCGTAGATATTACGCCGCCTCTGCCGAAACACCAACATCATGAACGCTATTGCCTCTGCACGCGACACCGACCTTCCAAGGGGGTCGAGAACTCCTCTTTGCATGCAATGCAGAAATTTGGCATCTCGCCTTACTGTCCCAGTCGGGGTGTGCAATGAGAGGCTAGCTGTCAGGAACGGTTCCGAGTGCCCGCTGTGTCTATTTTTTGCTGCTATACTACATGGAAAGTGTTCGTCATCTACGGTCAGGGAATCAGCCCGTTTTTGGCTCTTGGACTATCAAGGACCGTCAACAGTTGGAGGACCTCGCGATCTCTCATTCCGGAACTACTACGTCCAATCAGAGGATTCCACTGTCTCCCGCTTCATTCTCCCAGAGTCCGGACATGAGAACCTGCGATTCCGTACACTACCGAAAAATCTCATCGACTATCCTTTGCTACGAAAGTGGATTACGCACTGTAAGACCTACCATGGAGATGCATGTTCCCATCAAGGCAAGACTTCTCAGCTGTGGGCTCCAGGAAGAACTGCACTCAAAGTCATCGACTGCAGGTCATCCAGGATAATCGTGGCACTTCCGGGTGCGGAGTATGTTGCACTTAGCTACGTTTGGGGTAAACCGTCAGCTTCCAATAAACACGATAGTGTCCTTAGCTGTGGTACTGCTACGGAGAGCTTTTTGAACCTGCCAGAAACGATCAAGGATGCAATGCAGGTCACCCTTAAGCTTGGCTACCGATATCTGTGGTGCGATAAGTGCGTAGGATTCACGACAGAAAAACATGTTGGACATATGCTGACTATGACCACCAAGATATTGTTTCGACCAGCAGTCGGATCCGCATCAACTACAAAGCCAGCTATCCATGATGGCTTTGATCTATTCTACGGCAGCAGTGACTATCGTTGCTGCAGCTGGTGATCACTCGGATCATGGACTACCCGGTGTTGGTGGTCGAAGTCGGACTACGCCTCCTTCCATTCAATTGAATGGCACGACATGGGTAGCAGGGCTAGACGACTTCAAAACACCCATTCGCGAATCACCTTGGTCCCAAAGAGCTTGGTGAGTTACCTTGTCTATACGTGTTCATCAGTACTGACCATGAACTCTTACCGTGCAGGACGTATCAAGAGGAGTTTTACTCACGCCTGCAGCTCATCTTCACTGAGGAGCAGGTTATCTTCGAGTGTAACGCAATGAGCTGTTTCGAATCAGTGACCACGGAAAACTCATCTGGCTCAGCAGAGTTGATCAGCGGGCAGAGCAGTACCTGTATGCGAAGCACTTGGGACGATCCTTTCCGCGAGCATATCGTGCGCTATACGAAACGAGCATTGAGCTATCAATCGGACGTTCTAAACGCAATGCGTGGTCTCTTCCAGTCGTTCTCCACGCAAGACAACCCGTGTCATCAGTATTGGGGCATACCGTATACCATGACTGCTTGTACAGAGATCCAATCCAGGTCTAGGATGTGGTCCCATCTTTGGGCTTATGGTGTTCAGTTGGATGATGTGAAACATCAGCTCAATGCTGCGTTTTGCCGGGAACTATGCTGGGTCGTCAATCCGGAAACATCCACGAAGATTATCCGGCGAGAAGGCTTTCCTAGCTGGTCCTGGGCGGGCTGGATTGCTCCTGTTCTGTGGCCATGCACATCTCCGTTGACCTGGGACAATATTCTGCCAGTGGAACTCCATGTCATCAAGTTCGATGGGACAGATGAACCTCTGACGGAAGAATTGGTGAAGACGGCTTTCGAGAATGACGGTAATCTGGCGCTCGATTACACTTATCAGTTGCGCATAGTTGCTGATGTTCTCTACCTTCGGTTCGCATACATCCCAACGAAACGGCGTCGGCATTCACACATTTTTGATCGTCCAACCAGCACATACAAAGACGCAATGTACGCAGCACGCGGTACTATCGAGATGATCTCCGGCTCTGGCGAGCGCAGTTTCGAGGATCATGAATGGCTATTGGATGTCACGAGTGATGTCGACGAGGAATTGCATTACTCGCTCTGCAACCACCTATTCGAGGGTGTAGTCATATGCAAAGACTACGTCCTGGTTACGCGTACTAGAGATGGGATGAAAGAGCGCATAGGGGTCATGTCTGTCCGCAGCGTAGATTCCGGCGAAAGAACTGAGCTACATCCTCGCCTGTGCTTTCCCGGTAGTCGCCGAGATATCATTCTGGGATGATGAGCTTATCGAGAAGAATGCTCAGCTGAAAAGATTCCCAATCACATATGTGTGTTCTTCCTTTTCATCAACGCCACTATCTAGTGTGACGCATACTTTGGGTGTAGCTGAAAGCGCCACCCTTCTCCCAAGAAGAAGATCTACATATTCTTTAGGCGCGCTGCATGCCGAGTATGCAACATTCAAAGACGAAGCACACTACCCAACCAACATATGTTCTTAGGGTTTCAAGGCCGCAAACTTACCCCACATGCCCCACATGTGGCTACTAAGACTAGTAAGCTATAATGACATATAAGTAGTTGTGAATGCCGGAGAGGTTGCACAAGAAACGCAAGCTCTGGACGAGGGTATCTGTGACAGCACAGTCATGGCGTCTTCTAACGAAAACTATCCACAGGGACCATACGAGGTCGGCAAGCACATCGTTCCTCCTCCACGGCCGAGCTCACCATCAACTGCCGAGTACCGCCTTAATCATCTCATGACCCGTATCAAAGACCCGGAGAAGAGTTTGAAGTTCTACTGTGACTGCCTGGGCATGCACGTTGTCTTCATCTTCAATGCTGGTCCATTTACCATTTACTACCTAGGACCACGAGATAGTGGTAGGTACACACATTTACCCATAACTCCGACAGAATACTGAAATGGTTACAGGTATGTCCACCCTCGGTACCTCAAAAGGCTTGCTGGAATTGTATTACATTCCTGCCGACGCGGCTACGTCGTATACTTCTGGCAATGACTACTCTAATCCGGCGGGAATCGGCTTCGGTCACATTGGATTCACAGTGCCAGATGTCCCTGAAGCACTGGAAAGGATCAAAAGCTTTGGCTACGAGGTCATCAAGCCGCTGGATGAGGCGAAAGAAGAGCAGATGGGTTTACCCGCGGAGGCTGTGGAAGGAAAGCACGGAACAGTACAAGACGGCTACAAGCATGTCTTCAAACAACTGGCTTTCGTTAAGGATCCTGATGTAAGTAGACGCCAACCAGTGAAAAGAAACGTATGAGAGAAATGGCATGCTAACAGCTTTTAGGGTTACTGGGTTGAGATCGTACCTCAAGTGGTCAAGCCGCCGAGTGGTTAGTGAGCGGATCGAGGAGTTTGTCAAGCTAGATGTCGCAAAGAAAACGCTATCTAACTCCAACTTTGATAATTGTTCTCATCTTCCTCTTTTCCTTACGAAAGAGCTTTCCACCTGACTTAACGACCTTGCTGCCTTTCTACGAACACCATGTCAACGGAATCACAGAGAGCTTCAGACACATCTTCAGACACATCTTCACCCATATCTTCAGACACGCCCGTCAAAGTACTAAGACTAGGTGTCGACGGGTAATAAGTCCTAACAGCCATTCAATTTATACCACTACTGACAGGATCCCAGATTCATCTCCTCACCTCTCATCAAAGTTCTCGTTGGGCCCGAATCTCAGCGTTCAGAACTGTTTGTTCACCAGTCCATCATAACATCGCGATCGAAATTTTCCGCCAACGCGCTTAGTGGCAGATGGAACAACTCTGACGCGAAGACCATTAATCTCTACGATGTTGACCCTGAGTTGAGATTAGAAGATGTTGAGCACTACTTGGAAACCGTCTATACAGGTCGCATCTCGCTCACGGATGGCTCAGAAATTCTTGAGAGCATATGTCACGTATACGTGATAGCTGAATTGCTGCTCGATGTACACACCCGTAATCTGGCAACGCACTGTATGAGCAGATCTCCTACCGTGAATCTTATGGGTACGTTGCTCACAAAAGCCCTGGCCCAGAGTGTATAAAGATTATCTACAATGGTACAGTAGCTGGGGATCTAATGAGGGAGCTACTTGTCCATAGTTGGTGCGGTTTCGGAGGCCATAGTTTACTCCAGCGCTATGATTTGCCAAAACGGTTCTTGCGTGAGCTAGCGAAGGCTGCGCAGAAGGGTAAAGACAGACCGTTGTTGTATCATTTGGACAAATACCTCGAAGACGATTCATAAGCGCTTAGGGTGGTGATCAACCCCTCTCAGTCTTTGAGGTCCATGGAGGCATGGATGTCGTCATAGATGTTAGAAGGAATGTGAAAAAGCAACACTTCAACCAAAGTTCTCGACTTGTCAAGGGCAGATAGAGTATGATCTTCACAATCATGCTGCAGGAGTGTTCAAGGCTCTGAGCAGAATGTCAGTATACCAGCCATAGCGACTTGAGATGAGACGACAAGCGTCAAACCAGCGGTACTGGGCGGAACGTGAAGATACGCTAAGTCAGGTACCCGCCGCCACTAGCTACCAGTGCTACTAAAAGGACCCTGCATCATCCCGCAACCTCTAAGATCAATACAGTTGAGCATGAGAACGGTATCAATGCTCGAAAACAATTAATATTTCGTAGTTGCTACGGCCAGAACACGTACACGACTCGCGAGACATAGCGTCAGTGTGCATGTGACATCCAGGATCCGGTTTTCTGTAAGCGAAAACGATCATTGCAAGGGTGCCAACCGGAGTTTCAGATCTGGGGAGTCGAGGTCGCTCCCTGGAGCATGTCTCCCTAACGGCCTCGCCCTACATGCTGTACGTTTCGTGAGATCCTTACGATTGCTCGTTAACCTCTGTAGTCCAAACACTGACTGGCGTTAGTGGACCGTCCCCGCGAGCGTTAGTCGCGCGTGCGATGCGAGTGAGTCGTCTTGGGGGAAAGGGGGTGGTAGTGGTTACGGCGCAATATGACGTCCCCCAAGACAAAATTCCAGGCTTGTAAAAGCCAATCCTCAGCCGCCAGACTGCATTGGGCCACGGCCGTTTCCAAGTCATAAAGACATGTTTATCGGGAATTGCCCTGGGGTTTGCGTTCCCCATCCTCAATTCCGTGGCCGCTATGGATTTACAGAGGTTGAAGACGCGTATCGCGCGCGCCAGAGGTGCCGGCGCGACATCTTCAGGCTCCGGCACGGGCGAGCTGCCTCCACAACAGTCTCAGGCACCCCACGATAACTCCAGCACGCATGCTGTTAAGGAAGGAATTCAGAGCGCCGAACCTGGGACGAATGCGCAGGACTTTGGAGCAGCCGCGGACCAACCAACACAACAACCTGTCATCGAGCCGCCTACCTCGTTAGAGTCATCCATCGATGCTGGCCAACATGTCCCCAAGCCCACCAGGGCAACCGATCCCTCGTCGCATGTCACGTACAGGTATGCTCTAAGCACGCAAATGAGGAGAGTGCGATGCTGACCTTTGTCAAGTACTCTTGCCGCGCAACGAGCAAGAAGCAGCTCCGCGCCGACCAAACCCCAGCAATACCCACGACGACCGCAAGTCGGCCGCCAAGCCAGTATCGGCATACGGCGTATGCCCTCATCCAACGCCCTAAGACAATCCGCACAGCAACCACAGGGTTCTATAATAAGAGCGAGCACGCCCTTGCCCGCGCTGGACGAGGAGCAAGAGCTGGGACATTTCTCCTCCGCCAACGGGAGCCAGAGTACCCTCAACAATCCAGAGCCGGACAGAAGTCGACTACGGAAGGTCAAGAGCGCGATACAGACCAGGATACCCTTTTGGGGTACCAAGGAAGAGGAGAAGTCGCCGACGACAAGCGCTCATGCTCCTGCTCCTGTAGCGGAAGACGGCATGTCGTCCAACTACACCTCAGGCATGGTCGATGTCCTCGATACCATCGACCCCGAAGTTGCGACACTTACTTCCTTGACGAATATGCAAAACTCGCTCTTCATTCCGAACCTGCCATGGCTGAACCGCCGGCCCACTTACAACCTAAAGCGACGGAAGAGCGAGACCGACAGTCTGGAGGCGATCGAGCGCATACTGGAGCCCGCTCGTGCTGCTCAGGCGGAGGCGGAGGCAGAAGCTCAGGCGGCCCAGGCGGCTCCCAGATTCCAGCGCTCGGCGACTGAGACCACGACGGCCACCATGATGACGATAGATTCGCAGCTTACTGAGTCGCGCTTCGCCGTTCTTCCTGAGGATACTGACTTGTCTGGGTGGAGCGTTGAAGACAAGAAAGAGGTGAACGACCACGTACGGCACATGCTCCACTCAAGACGCTCCAAGATGAAGCGCTCGCTCAAGGGATTCGGCATGTATGTCAGGAGACGTAAGTATCTGTACCACTATATTTCTCAGCTGTTACTGACAATACACAGCACTTGGCTTCCTAGTCACCCTCTACGCCTTCCTCATCACCGCGTTCGGCTTGGCCTGGGTGCTCTTCCTCATCGGCTGGGCCAATGTTGGTGGACAGCAGATCTACGTCGTCCATGTCATCGACAGTGTCCTTGTTGCTCTCTTCGCTGTTGTAGGAGACGGCCTAGCACCCTTCCGCTGTGTCGACACATACCACATGATCTACATCGCTCACTACCACCATTTCACATGGTCTCGTCGTAAGAAGGACATGCTTCCTGACCTCACCGATCACAATGACCTCCCTGCCGAACACGCTCCTGTATCTGGACCACGCGCTATAGACCCAGCCGACCCCGAGAAGCAGTGGGAATTCACCGTGTTGACACCAAAGCAGCAAGAGAAGCTCGAACACCATCAAGCCAAATTCTGCAAATCGCACTCCTTTTACAAGCCTCACGAGACAGAGACTCATTACGCCTTCCCTCTCCGCTTCCTTGTCGCCATTGTCGTACTTCTAGACTGCCACTCTCTACTCCAGATCTCCCTCGGCGCTTGCACCTGGGGTATCTACTACAAGGTTCGTCCCTTTGCCATCACAACCGTCATCCTGTGTTGCTCTATCGCCTGCAATGCTACAGCCGGTCTATTGATTTGGCTGGGCGACAAGAGGACGAGGAAGAAGGACGTCGTAGAACGCATGAACAGGCAAGAATTGACTGGAGAAGCCATCAAAGAAGTGGAAAAGAAGAAGCAGAAGGAAAAGGAGAAGGAAAGCGAGGCCGAATCTAGCGGTGCAGATGAGGGCAGGGACAGGGAAAGAAGGAGGATCAGTCTGGATGCTTTCAGACCGGGGAAGAATGCGGAGAAGGAGAAGGAGAAGAAGCAGCAGAGCGAGAGTGCATACCCCTAGGAGGAAGTAATGGTGTTGCATAGTGCCTGACTAGCATATTGCTGGCATTTTCACCTTGCATTTTTTTTCTTATTGGAAGCGTTCAAGCGTTTATATACCTATGTAGCGATGTGGTCATGTTGGACTTAACTAATTACGCATTTTTCATCTTCTTCACAATCTGTACTTCTGGAGTGAGGGGTAGTGTTCGAGTTCCTTTGCTGTTGTGGAGTTTACTATCAGCGCTGCTCAGGCAGAAACATCGCCTACATCTAGTATCGTATCTACACTCCATATGTGAGCGCGAGAGCGGATCCGAAAGGTCTAGTTCTTCGGTCTAGATGAAACCCCACTGGTAGTGGCTTCTCCGCTAGGTCTACGCGAGGCTACTGAGGAACTAACGGTTCTAGAACGCATAGGTGGTGTATCATTGCCACATGCTGGATAGGAAGTCCGTAGCACTACAAAGGCGAGTGCCATTACGTCTAATGAGTGAGAAAGAAACCATTGAACGTGGAGAGTGATTCAAGCCCATCACACCGTGATGCTTTGTCAATTGTCTTGTATTACTTGAACGCACCCAGAACGGACGCTTCTATATCGTGTCGGCACCGCCGTTCTGCGATGACCATTGTATCCTCCGATTCCTTCTCCTCCAGTCACAACTCGTGGTAATCTTGCTCCTCCGTCTTCTACATCCTCTCATGGGTATAAACTTTCTAGCAGCCCTCGATCTGCTCAACACCGGCGGTGGTGCCCTTAACACACATGCCGTGGTTCTGACGGGCGGCAACTTCTATTCGTCCTGTCAGTCGTTGCTTCTGGTCATCATTTTAGAAAGAAAACATACCCTCGTTGGCGACAGGTGCAGCCATGGCGAAAGCGGCCATGGAGACGATAGTAGCGATGACAGCGGAGAACTTCATTTTGAAATAGTGTTTAGGTGATTATTGAACTCGGAGAGTAGGTGTAGAAGAAGCGTAGATGGTAGTTGTAAACGTGGTAAAGTCGCCCGGCGACAAAGAGTGAATGTATAGAAAGGGTGGAAAACAAGAAGATTGACTTGAAGAAGTTGACTTGATGGTGAGCTTGAAGTAAGGAAAGCGTCTACTAGCCTGAGGATACATCCAACTTATAGCCTGGCAGCCACGGCGCATCTGACATACAGGCACACCGCCGTCGTCGTCATCAGGCGCCGTTGTCAATCACAAAGTCATCCTGGTACCTTACTTTGTGCCTCGCGCTGAGAAGGCTGAAACCGGAGTCTAGACTTTCCTGCCTGTTTCTTGGTACTGTATTAGCGAAAGGAGTACGATCTGCTCCATAGCAACGGCGGGGAGTGGAGCGGTCTGGTTCTGCGGGAAGGGCACGGCCGGGGATGAGGTGTGTTGAAGTGTGTCAAAAATGTCGGAGAGATGTCGATGCTTTCCCAAAGAACAGGAGACGCGCGGCTTCTGTACCCAGATCCTCATGGAGTATCGTTATGATGCAATGGAACATTTAGTATCGACTTCAATCCTACCATGTAGAGTTGCCTTTCGTCGGGGTCACAAAACCAGACCTCAGCATCATCCAGGAAGGCATCTAGCCGACAACAACGTCCACCTTGCTGCCTTGATGATTAGACTCGCTAAGATACTATAGTACCGTATAAGCACCGTGATGCAGAGCGGTTGGAGTGAGATGAAACGGTACTCAAACTCAGCCGAAACTCGGAAGAGCACTTCCCTTGGCAACGATCTCAGAGATCACAATGCGATGCGAGCAGTCGCCCAGTACCATCTGTTGACCTGCGCTCTTTTCAAAACGTCGATACGCGTAAGCCTGGGGCAGAACTTGTCGTTGTTGGTGCAATGATGGTCGTTCGTCCGTGACTGTCGCGACCTCGAGATTACTGAACTGGTCAGCTGGCGCTAGCCGTTTGTGGACACTTCGCTTCGCCGCGGACTTCAGACATAT